TGTATGTTACCTGAGCAATTCTTCTGTCCATCTCCATTGAATCCTGTTTTACATTTGCAGAAATAGGAACCATGAGTATTGTTGCACTCAGCATCAACGTGACAGGTTTGAGGATCAGAACACTCGTTGATATCTGACAACAACACATTGCAAAACAACTTTGTTAAAAAGGTTTATTTCGTAACTACAAGCTAACTATATGTCTACCTCACTAGCATAAATTGTCAAAAGCCCATTACTAGGAGCATTCATGCCTTTATACAAACTAGTGTCGCGGCGTTGTTATAGACGCGTGAATTTTTAGATTTTTCTTCAGTTTTTGTTTTTTTTCAGTGGGGCCCTTTTTTATCGTTTATACTTCAGAAATATCAGAACTGACTCGTTTTTTATTATCGCCTCTCCTAGCAACGGACACCTGATATTGTTTAACACAATTATAAACAATAAAAATACCGACTTCCAAAAAAAAACTGTTGGTTATGGTTCTCACCTGATTGACAGTTATGTCCTTTAAAACCTGCTGCGCATGTGCAAGTATATCCAGTTGGTGACGTAACGGTGCAGGTTCCTCCATTCAAGCAAGAATGTTTGCACGGGTCCTGCATTCAGAAATATAAATGCCATTTTCCTTGTGGAATAGTTCTTAGTAAAAAATCCGTTGTCTACTGTAATACATTACATAATTGAAGAGAAAGATCTTTCGTAAGACTTCCATATATGGTTGTGCATGTTCGCTGCTGGATACACTACATGTTTCCTCTTTTTATTCGAAAAACTTTGTACATAAACTCGATTTTTTAAGGGCACGCTTTATTAGATTTGAGCCTGCGCTATGAATTGTCAATTTTAATTTCCCTTTACTGACCATTGATTAATTACAAAAATGAAGGTCACGTGACCATAGGCTACCCAACTATTGCTTGAGAGAAAGAAAAGAATGAATGCGCACGCTTATATTATCGTATCGCATTGGCGCGCGATGCGGGTTTCCTGTGGTATTACGTCATTGATCCCTTGCCTCGCGGGCATGTTATCGAATCGGCGCGCGCTGCGGGTTACTTACGTCACGAYCCSGCGCCTCGCGGGATACAAACTAGTCTGTGACAAGGTATGAAACACTCGTCACGTGACAAATATAATTTTGCTCCTTTTTCAACGAAAAACAGCAAAAAACAGCAGATTTTCTTTCAAATAACAACACATCGTCAGATTGTCTAACTACMTYACGAWWTTCAGTATGAAATATTTATTACATGACGAGAAAATGAACATTAAGCATTTCACTCGCCGTGGACCGATGTGTGCCCCAGKTAGCTTGTCYRWYCCYYCCYWMCCATTTTCATTCGGATAGACTTCGAGAGCTTTCGGAAAACATTCGTGAGTTCCTCGAGGTAAAAATGAAAGTCAAGGATAAATTAGTTTTCTTAAAAAAAGGAAAAGAAAACACGCTRGAAAAATGTAATATAAACAAAAACAAATTAAAAAGTTATAAAATTTGGAAACCTTTCGAGGTCTTCAAGATTCAGAAAAAGAAACATTAGTAAAAACATGACAAATATGAACTTTAGTTATAATAAAATTAAAAATCTAATCCAGTTAACAGTTCATATTGATAATATTGAAAAGCTTTATTACAGTTTCAAAGTACAAATATACATGATTTTGAACAGTGTKYWGATCTCAATCACCTTAGCTTCAGTAAAAAAACAAAGTTGTACATGCAATCTTGATGGTTATGAAGTGCATACAATTCATTTTACCAGATATTTAACGAAGCGTTTTCAAGTTTTCAAGCATCTAAAATTATTAGACGACATTATTCATTATCAAAATAGACGAAAATTCTTCCTCATAAATAACTAAACCAAGCGGTAAAACGTAGGCTTACTGCTCACTCGAGTTTCCGGCTTTAACATCACAAATAATTTTTTCCGTGGGTTTACACTAACAAAAAAAAATCTGGCTAAAACTATCATTACATGTAAAGATATATCTCTTTTCCAACTACTCACTCAATCAGCTTGATTCCTGCTCATAAACATAGTTAATCTACGTCACAAACAAACAACTCTAAGACCTGTAAACTAAATCCACGACGTCTAGATCTGCTTCATCGATGCTTCATCGGTTTTCAAGGTGACTCAAGTGTCTTGAAAAACATGTTTTCTCTTAAAGTAATTACTCCTTACTATGMACAGTCCCATCTCTTGCACGAAGCAGTCAAGCTCAAAACATTGATATGTAGGTTTCCAACAAAAACTACAAAGAAATCCGAGCAAAATCAATGAAAGATCAACCAAGTTTATGGCAGTGAATATGTGGCAGCGACGGAGCGACGAAAGGGAGCGACATTATCGGTCGACCATCGGAGAAATGTCGAGCGATACGACTGTTTACGAAAGCTCTCGAAGTCCATACGAAAAAAAACGATAGGGAGGGATAGACAAGCTACCTGGGGCGCACATCGGTCCATCACGTGACCAGTGTTTCATACCTTGTCACAGACTTGTTTGAATCCCGCGAGGCACGGGATCGTGACGTAATACCACAGGTAATCCGCATTTCACTAAGAGCGCGCGCCGATACTAGTATAAAAGCGTACGCATTCATTCTTTTCTTTCTCTCAAGCAATGGTTGGGTAGCCTATGACGTGACCAGTGTTTTTTCGCACTATTTTGTTAAAATTGCGGTAGAGCGAACATATGATTAGGGTTAGGATTGTTTAGGCTGAGTTTTGGCACAGGGTTAGACTTGTGTCGCTTTATAGAGGCTGACTGCTTGAGCTATTTCTTATTTAGGTCAAATTTTCAGATAGACACTTCCCACAGTCTCCTGCTCGGTTTTTTGGGGGGTCTTGAAGATTCTTCTACATTTTGTAGAAAATAGTAAACAAGAGGACATAATGTTCACAAACAGCTTTTTCTTATATAGGAGAACAGTAACACTATGGTTAAAATGAAGTAGTGAAATTTTCGTATACACTGTATGTATAACCTGGCAACACAAGCTAGTAGATTACCGAAGCGTAAAAATATATTAACAGCTGCATGTTGTTCAAGTTAACCGTTGTTCGTAAAAAAAACTTTTGAAATAATGTTTTGTGAATTTTGTGTCATAAATACATCAATATTTAAGAAATGAAATCGAGTGCGAGGAATATAGAAATCCAGGTTTTGGATTAAAAAAGAGAGGTTGTGATGGTACGAATACAATATTTCGACTTTCAGTTCAATTTTTTATCATATGCAAATTTTATAATTATTTACATGATGCAACTTATAAAACAACTATGAACTAGAGTATTTTAAAACTCCCTTGAAAAAGGGAGTAAATTTCTCATTGAGCATAGCAGCAGGACAGACAATTACACATAACACGATAAATGTCGTTTTCTTTGTAAACAGCTTTTCATAGTTTAAAGTCCGCCATATGGTGTAATGCACTGCATACTTGACAAGAGACAACACAATAAAAAGTAAATGAAAAAGCAGAAACTAAGAGATCGAAACAAAACAAAACACGCACTGTGTGACAACGAACAAGACAAAAATGTGCTGAAAAAGAACAGCCAATGCAAACTAGCTAAAGCATTTTTTGTAAAAACGTTTTCTACGAAAAACCGTACTTACAATCATGTCAATGTGGTCGTAGTCATCTCTCTTTTCCAACATGGTGTTCGGATCACGCTTTGACTTTGATAAAAGCTCACATTCTATCTTGTGTCCATCGGTTCTTTCCTGTACGTTGACAGAGCGACAGGAGTCTGTCCTGGAGCAAATCATTGTACACTCCAGCTTGCTGCTAACTTTCTTGCTTTTGATTAAAATYTTTGACTTTTTGSAAGAAAGTCTTTTATTTTGAAAGATCTCAGACTGTCCACTGATTGTCTGACCAACAACGCTATAACTCAGACATGAAAGCAAAACGGCGAGCGCAAAAATGTGAACATTTAACATTGCTGGATGCATGCTTGACAAGATCTTAGAGCTTTCTGGTCAGCTTGAGACTACTTTCTGGGCTTGGCTATAGTCGTTTTTGTGAACGACAATTGACGGCAAGATCAAAAGTATTCCTGTCTTCAATCTTATGACAAGATGTCAATAAGACCAACGCATGCACCGTCAGCAATTATGTCATTAGCATAATATTAGCATATATAGACTTTTACCAAAATTACACATTGCGTTTATGAACTTGAAACAATAAATCATATTACTGCATGCACTAGGCTATGTCTCGCGCTTATTATGTTTCCCAAACGCTGTAGCATGTACATATGTCCTCTTTCTTCAAGACATTCCCTGTAACTTCCTTTTAAGCATTATGATATTTTTCAGTAAATTAGTGCATTTTTTAATATTCCAGTTGCACAAATTGATTTACTAACTAA